CACAGAGGTGATTCATCGGAGTCGTGCGTGGAGGATGACGTCATCAGATCTACAACGATCTCTCGAAGGGACACTGGGGGGCCATCCTCTACTACACCGTTCCCAAAGGAATGAAACCCACCGAATCACCATTCAGAGAGTCTCTCTATCTCCTCCAGCAGTCATCCATCGGTGTGTCATCCATGTCACCCCGTCTCAAGGTCTCCAGGTCTCAGCAAGTACCTGTCACTACACCGTCAGGTACCTCCCAGAGTGGCCGAGCAGACGTCCATGTTGTACAAGAGAGAATCTCCATGCACCTCCTCCCTCTCTTTCACCCTACCCACACACTTGTGGGAGAATGAGACATTGAGAATCATGGAGAAGGAAGATGTCATCGACGTGATGAAGGACAACGAGAGGGAGATCCTCTCTCCCTCGAACGGACAGGTGAGGGAGAATGGCTGGTTGTAGATTGATGTGAGGTAGTTCATCGATCCGGCAGAGTTGACGGCTCGTTGTAGATGGTGGGCGGTCGAAGTGGACCGACCGGAGATCCTCTGCCAATTGATCGAAGGTATCTTTATCGATCTACAACAGGATGGGGAAGGCAACAAGACACTCTACCAACAGATCGGCTCACCTGACGTCACTGACATCCAAGTACGTGTGGTATCACCATCTACAACGCTCATCTTGTCATTTACAACGCTCACTCCCACAGGTCTTTTCTCTCATTCGAGCGTTGGAGAAGGAAGGAAAGAGAGACACCCACTTTCGATTTTGGACCTCATTGTTCTACTACAAGCAGGCATTCAAGAAAGGTGGTCCATCCAAATTTCAGACGAAAGATCGTACACAGAGTCCCTTCATACCCTTGAACATGGCAGAGTGAGCGTTTCATTCGAATGAGGAGGTCACGTGACATACATCAGGATGGTGAAGGATCTGCGTACGTTCGACAAGGTTCCCACGGAGATCTTGAGACCCCTCTCTACCCTCATCGACCGTGTCAAGGTGAAATTCCACGAAATTTCCACCGTGACACTGCACAGACACCAGAGATGGAAGCGAGATCGATGGTACTGAAGAAGGTAATGGAGGAGAGGTTCAGCGTTGTGCCTCCTCCATCCCCCCACGGTAGAGTGGCACTTGGTACTCCCAGGCGCATTGTAGACGTGATAAATACTCCCGACTTCAGAGCTTCCCCCGAGAAAACTCCGGCGAAGGAACCACGAGCGGGTGAGGTATGACCCCCTCTCCCGTCTGAAATTCCACAGAAATTTCGAGTCCCAATCGACCGCCCATCAAAGATCTACCCAGATCTACCGGAAAGAAGAAATCGAACGTGGCTGCATCTCCATTCGAAGTCCACCGTTCGTCACAATTACGCGAGGACTATGAGAAGACACAGAGAGATCTGGAGACGGAGGTGAGATATTCACCGCGGTAGATTTAGACTGACTCGTTGTAGATGGCCAAGCCCAGACCGTCTCCCGCCAAGACGCCCGTCGGAAATTTCCCTCAGACTTCATCAGTGGACGGTCCATCTACAACTCCTCTACCCTCTGCAACGACACCCATGGGGAAGGAGAGCAGACCTGTAGATCTACCGGAAATCTCTTTGCCATCCAAATTCTCCACACCGACGGCACAGTCTTTCACTTTCTCCACGCCTCCTCCATTTGGATCTCTACCTACAACGAGTACTGAGAAGACTGCCACAACGAGTGCTCCATTCAGTCCCGTTCCTTCGAAGCCTCTGATGTTTGGCACTCCAGCTCCAAGTGCGACGGCATCTACAACGAGCCAACCGGCTTCCGGTGGCTTCAGCTTTGGTTCTATTCCGAGTGCGACGGATGCCAAGGCATCTACAACGAGTCAACCGACTTCTGGTGGTTTCAGCTTTGGTTCTATCCCAAGCACGACGGACGCCAAATCATCTACAACGAGCCAACCGACCTCCAGTGGTCTCGATTTCCCCTCCACAAGTTCGACAGATGTGAAGGCATCTACAACGAGCCAGCCAGCTTCGAGTAGCTTCAACTTCCCTTCTACTACCTCTGGTGGTTCCACCACAGCAGAGACGAAGCCAGCCTCTACTCCTGCGACGTCGCAGCCCTCCGGTGGCTTCAACTTTGGCTCAACACCCACCACACAACCAGCTCCCACTAGTTTCAGCTTCTCACCCGCCCCATTTGGATCTTTATCCAAGACGGAGACAAGTACTACATCCTCTCCGTTCACCTTCTCATCTACAACGAGCAAGGATAAGGCTCCCGTACAAGGCGTGACATCCGTCACTTCATTCAATTTCGGCTCTTCTTCGTCTACAATGGGCCAGAGTGAATCGCAGACACCAGAGAAGAAGCCTCTCTTCCCCTCTGCACCCTCCGTACCCACCTCTATCTTCAAGCCTGCATCTACAACGAGCCAAAACTTGGAAGCCAAACTTCCCACCACCACAGCAGCCCCCTTACCTTTCACCATCCCATCTACAACGCCCAACTTTGGGCAAAAGGAGGAGAGTCCACAGATATCTGAAGAACCATCACACAAGAGAACACATCGATCAACCGAAGAGCCACCAAAGACTGCATTCACATTCAATACACCCACGACAAGTACAGTCGGATCATATACAACGGGCGCTTTTGGTTCATCTACAACGGGTACTTTCGGTTCATCTACAACGGGTCAGAACATGTTCGGCAAGCCTTCGGGTAGCGTGTTCGGTTCATCCACAACAGCACCGTCTGTCTTCAGTACACCATCATCCAATCCTTTTGGAAATCTCGGAGGATCAGTATTTGGAGCATCCCCAGTCAAAAACGTCTTCGGTTCATCTGCAACCAGCCAGGGCTCCACCTCCGTCTTCGGAGGCACTCCCTCCAAGCCCGGAGACAATCCATTTGCCTCCAAGCCTCCATCTACAACGAGTCCTTTTGCATCTGCTACCTCTGCCTTTGGAGGTCTCTCGTTCGGGAACACATCCAAGTCCTTCTTTGGCTCCGGTGGTCTATCATGTGACACATCACGTGATATGATCATGACTATCTGACACGTCACAGCTGATGTGGGTAATGTAGATCCTGAGGATGAAGAGGAGGAAGAGAATGGAAAAGAAGAGGAGAATGTGGATGACTACAATGAGGAAGAAGAATACGAAGAAGATGAATATGCACACGAAGAAGGAGAAGATGAGTATGCACATGAACAGGGAGAAGGAGAAGAGGAAGAGGAAGAAGGAGAAGAGGAAGAGGAAGAAGAGGAAGAGGAAGAGAGAGGAGAGCCAGGTGAGTTGTATAGAAGTAGGAGATATTGAGACGAAATAGGAGACGAACCTCAGAGCAAGAAGATGAGTACACCTGCACCCACACCTGCTCCCGCACCCACACCTGCCCCCGTAGGATTCTCTTTCTCTGCTCCCGTCATCAGTGAGTGGATGGAACGATCGTAGAGGAGCTGATCTCTCGTAGCGGGTAGAAAAACCACCCCCTTTGCCTTCGGTTCCAACACAACCAATGCACCCTTTACCTTTGGTTCCAATACCGGTAGTGCTCCCTTTTCCTTTGGTGCCCCTTCTGCGGAAGTTGAAAAGCCTGAGGAAGAGAAGAAGAAGGAAGAGAAGAAGAAGGAGGAGGAGGAGAAGAAGAAGGAGGAGGGAGAGAAGAAGAAGGAGGAGGAAGAGAAGAAGAAGCAGGAAGAGAAGAAGCAGGAGGAAGAGGAGAAGAAGCAGGAAGAGGAGAAAAAGAACGAGGAAGAGAAGAAGAAGCAGGAAGAGGAGAAGAAGGAACAGGAGAAGGAGGAGGAAGAGAAGAAAGAAGAGAAGAAGGAAGAGAAAGGTGAGAAAGAAGTAAAGGAAGAGGACTCATCGAATGCAAAGGATCATCCATCTTCAGCACTCCTGCAGGAGGCTTCTCGTTCTCTTCTTCTTCATTTGGTTCCCTGAAGGTAGATGAGAAGCCACCCTCTACAACGCCATCATTCGGTCAAACCAGCACCTTTGGTAGCTTCGGACAGTCATCACAGACCCTACCCAGCTTAGCTCCCACTTTCGGTCAATCTCCCTTTGGAAGTACATCTACAACGAGCCTGAATGCCAGTTCACCCTTTGGATCTGCACCCACGAGCCAGACCACCGCTCCATCTACAACGGGATCTGTCTTTGGTAGTGCACCCACGACCGGATCAGTCTTTGGAGGTACATCGACCTTTGGCGCCAAGTCATCATCAGTCTTTGGCACTTCATCTACAACGAGCCAAGGCAGTGGATCAGTGTTCGACAAGAAGAGTGCTGCACCTTCCGTGTTTGATGCCAAGCCATCTACAACGGGGACCGTCTTTGGAAGTCCATCTACAAATGGATCTGTCTTTGGAAACGTATCTACAAAGGGATCTGTCTTTGGAGGTCCATCTACAACGGGATCCGTCTTTGAAAGTCCATCTACAACGGGACAGACTCCATCCCCCTTTGGATCATCCACCAACGTCTTTGGACAAGCCTCTTCATCCAATGTCTTTGGAAAACCATCCCCCTCTGTATCATCCACCAATGTCTTTGGGCAACCATCATCCACCAATGTCTTTGGACAAGGGTCATCATCCACCAATGTCTTTGGAAAGACAACCTCATCATTACCTTTTGGCTCATCTACCCCGTCTCCCTTTGCCAACGCCAGCACCTTCTTTGGTTCTACCCCCTCTCCCTTTGGAACTCAATCCAAGGCCACAGAAGAGAGTCACCACGAAGAGGACGAGGAAGAAGGAGAAGAAGAACACGAAGACCACGAAGAAGAGGAAGAACACGAAGAAGAGGAAGAAGAACACGAAGACCACGAAGAAGAGGAAGAAGAACACGAAGAGGAAGAACAGTACCAAGGAGAGGAAGGAGAAGACCAGCACCAAGGAGAGGAAGGAGAAGACCAGCATCAAGGAGAAGAAGACCAGCACCAAGTTGAAGAGGGAGAAGAGGTGAGAACCTCTCATTTGTGTTGTGAAGAAAGGGATGGCAAGCATCGGGTTCTATGGTGTAGTGGTTAGCACGTCAGGTTTTGACCCTGGAATCCCCGGTTCGAACCCGGGTAGGACCTAATTTTTTACTGACCGAAAAAAATCAGGAAGAGAACGAGGAAGAAGAGGAGCAAGCACAGCCACAAGAAGAGAAGACAGATACGGAGGAAGAGAAAGAAGAGGAAGCACAGTCACAAGAAGAAAAGGAACAAGAGAAGGAAGACATTTCAGGTGTGCAGACGGCCTTTGGCAATCTCGCCGGTAAATCCGTCTTCGAAGGTGAGATCATCTACAACGAGCCAACACTGACCTATACCTATCAGGTGGTGAATCCTCCTTCTCCTTCACGGATCCATCCATCTACAAAGCGAAGACTTCTATTTTAGACAAGCTGGCTAAGAAGGCAGCCGAAGGTACGTCCAAAATTCCCGCCAACGTGAAGGCTGCGGTGGCGGCAAAACCAGAGACTACAACGAGCCAATCTTTCAGCAAGAGGCTCTCGCTGCACCAGAGCACGGAGGATTCATCGGACGAGGATGATGATCTGGATTCGGGTGAGATTTGATTTTCAAATCGATTGTTTTGGCGGCAGCAGACCTTTGGCGAAAGTGCGAGACACCGTAGATGTTGGTGTTCTCGGTACAGTCTGCTCATATTTTCCCGCCATTTTCATATACGAAGTTTCAAGTCATGGAATCGGTTAATTTCGTGTCGACGAATGGCGAAATGAAATTTCTGTCGAATTTCAATGACAATTCACAGATACCGATGACGATGAGCCCCCGGTCGTTCCCAACAAGGCTCCAACTGCCTCCATCGTCCCTTCCTCATTCGGTGAATTCATCTCATTCTCTTCAAATCGAATCCAACTGACTCTTCACAGACTCCACCTCCGAATCACCGTTCAAACCTGCTTCCCTGTCTTTCTCGGCCATCGGTACGTAGTGAAACGGCTCACTTCCCTGACCTTCCCACAGCGAAGCCTCCACCCACCTCTACCTTTGGGTCAGTCGCGGCGACAGCGAAGAATAACCCGTTCGATCTATCTACAACGAGCACATCAGGAGGACCCTTTGGCTCGAGCACTTTCGGGTCTAACCCAACTTTTGGATCATCCGCCTTCGGTTCCATGTCATTTGGGACCACGTCATTTGGGACGACGCAGCCCGCCCTTGGAAAATCCACCTTCATTTCTGCCTTCTTGCAGGGTAGTCAAGGTGGACCTTTTGGCTCCGGTGGTGGATCTACAACGGGGTTCGGACAGGTGAATGGATTGTCTTGTTGTAGATGGAGGCTGACGTGGCCTCAGCTGGCGGAGAAGGCAGAGAAATCTCCCGAGACTACAGAGGAAAGATCAGTAAAATCTCCTACCATTGCAGAGGAAACACCAGTGGAATCTTCTGAGAAAGAGCTTGAAATTGTCGAGGAAAAATCAGAGGAAAAGACCGAGAAAATTTCCATGAAACATTCTGAATCAGCATTGACGGAAACCACCGAAGAAAAGTCGATGGAATCTTCCGAGACCAAGGGAACTGAAAATGTCGAGGAAAAGTCAGAAGAAAAGTCAGAGGAAACTTCGACGAACAATTCTGAGACGATTTCTACGGAGAGTACCGAGGAAAAGTCAAAGGAAGCTTCCAGCAAAGACAAACCAACTGGGTTCTCCTTTGCATCTACAACGAGCACTCCTTCCTTCTCCTTCTCATCTACAACGGACCCTGCTTCAACCGCTGGCTTCTCTCTGCCATCTTCTGGCGGTTTCTCCTTCTCATCTACAACGGACACCACCCCTGCCACTGGCTTCTCATTCGGTAGCAACAACACCACTGGTGGCTTCAACTACACTGCAGCCGCTTCTGGTAAGAAGAAGGCACAGGCTGACGAGTGGGAGTGTGAGTCATGCGAGGCGATCAACAAGAACACCGAGTCCACGTGTGGAACATGCATGTGCAGCAAGCCTGGTGCAGCTCTACCCACTCTGTTCTCCGCTGCTTCTGCACCACAGAAACCATCTGCATCGACAGAAGAGAAGAAGGAAGAATCATCATCGAGAGTAGAGACAAAGAAGCCAGCCACGTCATCAACAGAAGGCACTGGATTCACTGTACCATCCTCTGGCTTCTCTCTGCCATCTACAACGACCACACCCTTCACTGGCTTCTCCTTCTCATCTACAATGGACGCTCCCCCAGCCACTGGTGGCTTCTCATTCAGCTCTGCTAGTACAAGCGGAGGCTTCAACTACACTGCAGCAGCCTCTGGTAAGAAGAAGGCACAAGCTGACGAATGGGAGTGTGAGTCATGCGAGGCAATCAACAAGAACGCCGAGTCCACGTGTGGAACGTGCATGTGCAGCAAGCCTGGTGCAGCCCTACCCACCCTCTTTTCGCCCACAACTGCCCCATTAGTCAACAAGTCTGCGACGAAGGAAGAGGAGAAGGGTGCCACGTCATCAACAGAGGGCACTGGATTCACTGTACCTCCCACTGGCTTCTCTCTACCATCCTCTGGCGGTTTCTCCTTCTCATCTACAACGGACACCATCCCTGCCACTGGCTTCTCATTCGGTAGCAGCAACACCACTGGTGGCTTCAACTACACTGCAGCAGCCTCTGGTAAGAAGAAGGCACAGGCTGACGAGTGGGAGTGTGAGTCGTGTGAGGCAATCAACAAGAACACCGAGTCCACGTGTGGAACATGCATGTGCAGCAAGCCTGGTGCAGCTCTACCCACTCTGTTCTCCGCTGCTTCTGCACCGAAACCATCCGAAACGATAGAGAAGAAGAAAGAAGAGACAGAGAAATCGGCCACGTCATCAACAGAAGGCAATGGATTCACTGTACCATCCTCTGGCTTTTCTCTGCCATCTACAACGACCACACCCTTCACTGGCTTCTCCTTCTCATCTACAACGGACACCACCCCTGCCACTGGCTTCTCATTCGGTAGCAGCAACACCACTGGTGGCTTCAACTACACTGCAGCAGCCTCTGGTAAGAAGAAGGCACAGGCTGACGAGTGGGAGTGTGAGTCATGCGAGGCAATCAACAAGAACGCCGAGTCCACGTGTGGAACGTGCATGTGCAGCAAGCCCGGTGTAGCCCTTCCCAAACTGTTTTGAAGAATGAACGTTTAAGAGTCTGTCTTTATGAAGAGTTGTCTCTCGTCTTTCTGATCTCCTTGTTGATCCTCTGAGACACCTTTCTGAATTTCGCGCACTGTAACTTAAGCGAGGCCGTTTCCAACTGATCGCGTGAGTCAGATGGATGAGATGCATACGTTCGTCGTCACCCAACCGGGGAAGTTGCCTCCAGTGGACACGTGGATCATCATCGTCACGAGTGTCACGTTCGGTTCTACCTCTTCGAACACGTCTCCGTGCACTGTCACCCGTCATGACTCGATCCATCTATCTTTATAGAAGATGGAGTATGTCGATCTTGAGCTCACGGTAAGTGTGGCCTACGACGTGGTTCTTGAGGGGAGCATGTGGTGCATTCCAGCCCACCCGAACTAATTTCTTGTCGGACCAGTGCTCGTCGATGTAAGAGGAGTACAAGCGGTCGCTGAATGGTATTGGAAATCTCAGACAGACTTTGACGAATAGCAGGCCTTCATCTGTGGGTCGTGTTTCAAAGACCTATAGATTTGTCACAAAAAGTCGGCTGACTTTTGGAGGTGTTGTTGGTGATGATGATAGTAATAATGACGGTGATGACGATGACGATCGACGGTGCTGTACCTTCAACATACTGTCGTCCTTCCAGATATTAGAGAGCCACATATCTGCAGCCTCCTTCAGAGGAAGTTGAATCTTAGTGACAATCTTCATCGCTCCACTGATGCCCTTCCAAGGATCAGTGGTCGATTTCGTAAAGTTCATTGATGAAACTAGATCATCCTCACCGCTTCTTTCCTCGAATAAAAAGAGTAACTGTCTTCTTCTCTGTGTTCCATGACTTTCCACCTCTTACAATCGAGTTTCTCGATCAGCTCCTGCTGCAACCTCGCTCGCTGAACGAGTCAGCACCTTCTTTACGTCTCAGCCACACCTCTTCCGTGTTTGGAATTGTAGAGGGCACACACAGTTGACTCATCCACTCTAAAAATTTTCTGTCTTCCTCTGTCGTAGGTCCATTCTGAACAGAAGAGCAAGCGATGAGTCGCTCGTACATATCGATCTGTCTCTGTGATGTCTCAGATGCTGATCGAGATGTCGTCTCACCTGATCAATCATCAAGGTGAACCATTTTCGGATCTGTTGTAGATGAGATGATGTGATGACGTATGATGACGTCACCGTGTCTTTCAGCTGCTTGTCGTTGCTCTTATCTTTGATCACGTGACGTAGGGTTTCGCTCCACTGTCTGTACGTCGCTTAGAAATTCAATTAAATTTCGAACAACACGTACCCAATTAGATGCTTGTGGTCTGGATGGTGGACGAAGGGTAGTATGATTTTTTCCACGAAAAAGATGGCCACTACGGGTAATATCACTTTCTCATCCTCCTTCTTCTTCAAACTTTGATGGAAAGTCAAGAGGACCCTTCTTACATTCCTGACACGATCAGACTCTTTCGATGGTGATGCTTCTCACACGGGTACATCGTCCATGGCAGACACCATCTCCTGTAGAAAGTGGGAGGCACTCGTATTCTTCCACCATGTCAGGTTGTGATTCACGCGCGGATGTCATCACCTCTTTGCGTTTCACAAACGAATCGGTGACACTCTGCATGAATTTGAGAGTCAGATCCGTATGGACGAGTCCATAGAGAGCTCTCTCGCTCAAAGATGAATTCGAAAAGTTTTCGTCTGGATGCATGTGAGAACGGGAGACCAACATTATAATCTTGATCACCTGTCTGACGGTTGACCAACCATGTGACAAGAGGTACCACTCGATCTAGTGAACAAAAATGGTCGATGAGTCTTTGGGCGGTGGTATCATCGTCTTTCTTAGAGTGAAGTGTGTGCTGAAACTGGTCTCATGTGAAGTTGCGATCAGCCGAATTTATTCCAAGTCAGAACGATTCGGAGAAGGAAAAAGTTTTCAAAGATGGACACACATCACACATT